GTCTGTCTGCCTGTCTGTCTGTCTGTCTGTCTGTCTCTCTGTCTGTCTGTCTGTCTATCTGTTTGTCTGTCTGTCTGTCTGTCTGTCTTGCTTCTCCCCTGCACTGTCTGGCTGTTGTCATATCAATGTGAGTCTCTTTACTCAGTCTGAAAACTTTCCTGCTAGTGCCTGTGTTCACTGTATCTGCCTTTGTTTTGTTTTTTTGTAGCGATGTGCTTTGAGCATCTCGTCCTGATGAAATTGGGCAATCTAAATGTACTGTAAACCAATACAACGACCTGTTGTTGTTATTTTTTTGTTATCGATCCAGCAACAGCTACACCCTCGCCACCCCCCAGGGCGGTGCTACAGACTGAAGGGTCTTTAGGCCATTCCCAAAGGGGGGACATTTCTCATTCTAGTGCACAGCAGAATTGTAAATGGGCTGATTCATCATGTCACGCTTATAACTGTGCCTGATCTGCAACAGGGAACTGCTGATTTTTCTTTCCTAATCCTTACTATTGTCATTTTCCTCTACTTCTTTTGTATGTTTGTCACACAACTGTGACCCACTATTTCCGAGATGCCTTGATAGTCGCAGCAGACCTTGTGCTGTTGAAGCTAGAGAGGTGAGCAGAGTAAGTCTGATTCCCTGTAAAGATTTCTCTGTTGACATCCTCCCCTTGGCGCTCATATGACCTTATGCAGTTGCGAGCGCTGTAAAACCTCTATCGGAACAAGAAAAAAAAAAGACCCTCGCCCTTCTGCCCAGTGCCGTGTAAGGATAAGTGCAGGTTTGCTTCAGTTTCTATAATGTTCCATAGAGAATGTTGTCGGTCATCATCATTCGGTGCCTTGCCGACTGGCGTGGGCGATCATGGACGTCCACTTCCATCTGTCTTACGTTGCAGCGATGGTCTCTGCTGTTCTGTCTGCTCCCAGCCATGTTGTCAACTTGTCCAGTATCTTTTCCCTCTGTGGGTGGTTGGCGGGTGCTCTGGTGTGGTTTGCTCCTTCTTTCCTATCAAACATCTATCGTCCTTATCTCCCCTTCTTTTTTGTGTACGTTATTCTTCTTGGAACACATCTATTCTTCGGCCCTTATATGACCTTATTGTATTGCAAGTGCCGTAAAACTCTTACTAAAACTAAAAATCTTTTCCCTCTGTCTGCATCTGCCTCTCTTTCCATCAAACTTGCCTGTTGTTACAATATTCTCCAATGCTGTGTTGTCAATACATCATCATCATCATTGACTTTCTCACCCTGCACCAGGGTATAGACCACGGACAAACACCTTCCACCTTTCTCTATCCTGGGCTAGCCTCTTGATGCTATTCCATGTCTTCCCACTTTTCTGTACATCGATTTCTTTCAGCTTTGTCCACTGTCCTTAATTGTTCCTGCTGATGCTGAAGCTTCTCCGTCTCCCAAGATAGAAAAATAAAAAGCTGTGTTTGTCCGTGTTTCTGTAACTGACTGTTTTTTACTGGGTCGGGTAGTTGGCCCTCTGGCAAAACTGGCAGTTTCCCGGCAACCAGACCTTTGCACCTGTAGTCGCCTCTTACGACACGCAGTATCACGACAAGTGTATTCTTTGCTCCCCCATAGTAAAACATT